TTTTAGGGAGCTCGGGTTCTTACTTAGGGAGCTCGGACCCTTAACAGGGAGCTCGCTCTTAACAGGGAGCTCGGGCTCCTAGTAGGGAGCTCGGACTCTTGGTAAGGAGCTCGGTCTCAGTAGAGCGGTCTGGAGTTCGGGCTCGGTAGTGAGCTTGGACTTGCTTCCGATGTTCGCTTCGGGCGCTCTACTGTCCCGAGTTGCTTGCCTTTGCCACGTGTCGGGTGATTGCGAAGTCGGGCCAAATTTCGCTTCATCAAATACCATGTTGTTTAAGACATGTTTGAAACTCACCATCCTCACCATTATAATACTCTCCCCCTGAATTTGACCTCAAAATGCTTATAGTACTTTTAAATTAGAGCATTACCATAGCATGAAAGTTCTTAAACATGGATAAAGCTTCTTTTTTTTTCCGAAGGAAATAAACCCATGTGTATCGAGTACATTCTTCAATGAATAACACAAAATACTTATAGCTCAAGCATGAAATAACTGGAGACGACCACACATCACTATGAATGAGGTAAAAAGGTGTATATGCATGTTCAGTAGAAGATGAAAAAGGTAAAACATGACTTTTACTATAAGAACAAATTAAATTGGATTTATCAACATCCTTAAATGAAATTAGTCATAGGCAAACAATTAAAATAAAATAAATAATCCAAATTTTTTGCATGAGTGTGACCCAAATGTCTGTGCCATAAGTGCCACACTTTATTACAGGAGGAAATAGAAAAACTAAGAGTAATAGACAACAAACAGGAATCCGATAAAGCTCTCTTATTGTCAAACTTAGAGCAAATAACCTTTTAAGTCTACACCCCTCTCCCTTAAGTTCCCTAGTGTATTGGTCCTAGATAAAACAATCAACACAAGTAAATAAGACATTATTACCATCATCAACAAGTTGCTCAACAAATATAAGATTAGTAGTCAATTTAGGTACAAAGAAGGTTTTGGGAAGATTAAAGGGTTTGGACTTGGAAGTGGAAAAAAATAAATCATCACAACTAGATACAGCTAAAGAATCACCATTAACAGTAATAATATAGTTGACAGAGGTGTAAGGTTTAGGAGATTGACCAAGGAGGCCCCAATCATGTGATTTGAGGCTCCATAATCAATAATCCACATGTGAGAAGGAGATGAACACAAATAAGTAGATTTACCAATTAGTCCAAGAGCAGAAAAAACAAAGGAAATAACTAAAGACATGAGCTCACGAATCTTTTTTTTTTTTCAGTTAAATTTCCCTGTGCATTTGAATTGTGAGCTGATGATGAGGTGATAGTATCAGTAGAAACAGGTTCAGTCGAGGCCTGGTAAGCCTTATGTTGTTCTTTCTTAGGAGGCCTACTTGGAAATTCTACTATAATGTGTCCCTGCTGTTTGTAATAGGTACAAAAGTTTTTCTTTTATAGTGGGATGCCACATGATCATATTCTTTGCATTCATAACACTGCATTTTCGAGAAGTTTTTCTTACCTTTCTGTTTGGTAACCAAAAACACTGTATCAATCCCATGTTCCCTTTTCTAATCAAGTGCATACAAGGTAAGAAGTCAGGTTCCTCCCTTAACAACTCTCCAAGAATTGCATCAAAATCAAGTATTGGCTCTCTACTAAGTATAATAGAGCGTAGAATCTCATAATCGGGTTCGATGTACATCAAAAAGTGCATGGCATTTCTCTTGATGAGATATTTCTTCATAGTCTTTACACAACAATCTGTAGACAAATCCCCAAAATGTGTCAGTTCGTATTCAGTCCAAAGATTCACAAACCCTGCATAGTGTTCCTTAACTCACTTCTCCCATTGGATATAGGAGAAGATATCAATTTCAATTTGATACTGCCTAGACATATTCGATTGCTGATATACCTTTTCAAAATACTCGAACATGTCATGGGCTGATTTGATACCTCTCTCTTCGGAATATTGACATCCATGGAAATAGAGCCAAGTAACCATGAAGTAACCTGAGCATTCTTAGTTCTCCACTGTTTCAGCCCTTTAACATCACTTGCGTTAGGCATGAAAGTGGAACCATCAATATAACCCCACATACATTTTCCTTCAACAAAGTACTGGAAATGAACTTCTAGATAACATAGTTGCTTCCATCGAACTTAACAAAAATAATTTCATTCTTTTCCAAAGCCATGTCGAAAAAAATACGAAATAAAAATTGATAGAAGCAGGCAAGATAAGCAATAATCAAATTTAAGAGAGTCTAAAATTAAGAAAAGTAACCTCTTATAGTCACAAGAAATTGTCCAAGATCCAACAATAGGAGGAAACTAGACACAGTCCAGAAAAAGAAAGTTTCGATACGGCCGCCCAAAGGAGATGTATAAATCTCTCTCAAAGCTTCTCGAATCTCAATAAAAATTTCATAATATGATGAGGAGGGTTGGGCAACACTTCCTTTCAAATCTTACTACAAACTGATGTCATATGAGAGAGATCTAATGAAATCTCTCTTACTAGATGCACAAAACACAGAGAAATGGTCCATATAAAGATCAAAATAGTCCATAACCAATCGACAATGATAATAGCCCTCAAAATGATTCAGGAAATAAGAGAAATGGATAAGAGAGCAGCCTGCTCTAATCGCATGTAAGTTCATGAGAAGATGGAAGAGCTAGAAGAGAAACACAAGTCCAGATCTGTTAGGGTTGATCAATCTAATCAAACCAACCCGGAAAATATGTATTTATATTAAACTCAAGTGAATGGATAAGATTGTCCTTGTAGAGAAAATAAAAGAGTTGTGCACTAATGTATACACTTATTACATTACAGGAAAGAACAATAAAATACAATAGAATTACAAAACTACCATTTATTTTCTCTATAGTAATAAAAGATAAAAAGTCATCAAGAACATTAGAATAGCAATGATCATGAGGTAAATACACAGCTGTAGATGAAGAAGATGATGCTTGTTTTACTGATGAGAACATGAACAAGAGAGAAACATGAGAAATTAAGCATGGACTGAAATACCAAACACGAGAAGTCATAGCCTCTGAAAACATCCAAAAAATTTGGAAAATGAAGCTCAACGTTTAGAGGAAGGGGACGACAAACATATCGTTCAAATTAGTAAGAAACAATAACAAAAGCTTGCAGGGGGTTAACGACGTATGAAGCACATTGCGGGGTGTTACAAAGCTGCCAGAAAAATGGCTGAGTGGTTAGTATGAAGCACCTTGCCGGCGTCATGGTGGAGGATTGATAGTGTCAATGGCGAACTTACTGGCATGCACAGCCTCCGGTCAGTGCGAGAAGAGCACTCTCTCTGCAACTAGACTGTCAGTGGCTATCCTCTCTTGATGGGGTTCGCCACAGGTTGTCTTTCTTGTAGAATGGTTGATCCGCAATGCATCGGATCGGATGCCTCAAAGTGCCACACCAACTTACACGTCAGCACCACATCAGCTATGCATTTCACGAAACGTCTAACCATCGGGGGAAGTGATAATTTAACGCTTCCCCCCCAATGTCTCATTTCACGAAAATTGATGAAAAAACATTTATTAGTGTTTTCTTAATAAAATATCACACCAAACATTGATTTTAAACCCAATAAACATTTATCAACCCAAACGCTAAGAGATCGCAGAATGTATTAAAAAAATGCCTAGGAGACCAAGTCACCAAACAGCCTCTTCGTCATTGATGGAAAGACGATGGGAAAAACTTTCGCCAATGAGTTAGGGCTATTATTGACTATATGCCATAATGCTAGCTAGTGACTATCCATCCATTGGACAAAAGCTTGACCTGAGCACCTTTTATTTATTTATTTTAATAGGGAGACCTGAACCCCTCTTGCTCCGCGCATCATTGTTATCTCTGTTTATATATTTATAATTTAATATTTCAAAAGAATAGAATTTTGGATCTATATATACTATACAATATACATTGAATGCTTCCTTAGTCAAAAGCTCTCGTACCCCTGATTCATGGTCTGATTTCTTAACTCGTAAGCATATACAGAAATAGTAAACATGTTCGTGTATATTTGGAGTTTAGCTCGAGTGGCTGGTCCTTACATCTGGGAGGCTTTTTTGACGTTAGATTAGAATCAACCTTTACAATATTCTTTAATAACCTGACATCAATTTTAATCTAAGTTAATTTCATGCTCTTGACCATGTTAATGAAATTAATGTATGCAGTCACTGCCCGTACATTTTCCACGGCTGACTTGGAGTATTGTCGTTAATTACATCTATATATGTTTAGCCATATTAAATAAAAACAATATTCCTGTTCAACGGCAAAAGATGCATGGTTGGAGCCAGACATCCCTTTTCTTTGTCCATGTTCTTACTTCTTCGTGAAAAAGAGGAATATTCCAATGTGGCCGTGTTCAAGAACTCTCAACCGTTAGATTATTTCAGCTTCAAGATCACTTATCAGTAATGGCCCACCATCATTTTTTCTTGTATTCACGGTCCTGCTGTTTGGTGAAATGGTAATATCCCAAGGGCCCGTTTGGTTTGCAAGAATAAGAATTTGGAATCAAATAAGAATGTCATTCGATTCCAACTGATGCTAATTTCCATTTAGATTAGATTCCTATTTAAATCAAACAGACTATAGGAATATATCAGTCCAATTCCGGTCCCAACGGATTTTAATTCCAATAATTACTGTGAAGCAAACAGACCCTAAATTCTTTTTCAATTATATTCTTGTACTGTTTGTTTAAATGGCATTCTTCGCTATTTCTCTTTCAGTAGGCACGTGGCTACTCACTAATTGAAGCCAGGTAGGCCTCAGTCTAACCGAATAGGAGGGAACGGTCCTTTTGACGGTGGATAACAACATCACATTTCCCATATTTTGAGAATTTTAAAATTTTATGGATTAACGTGGCATTGATATCCACCGTGAAAAGAGCCATCCCCTCCTTTTCTAAAAGGAGCGGAAGTAAACCCCACGTCTACTGCCTACAACGAGATGTGATCATATCGCAAGTGTTGGTCCCAAGATCTGACGGTCCAGATCGTTGGATTATCTCTAGAACTGTAGATTCCGTTCTCTTTGTTGAATTCCAATCGACGTTTCCACAATTCTACGGGCGACAGACCGATAATACCGTCGGAGGAAAGAATCGAAGCCGAACAACGGCCGAAATTTGACGCGCAGATCTAGGCTTTCAGATTGCCTTGACCAGACTCTTTGGTAAGGTTTTTGAGACCCCGAGCCTCCTTTCACTTGATTGATTCTGCTTCACTCTGTAATTTGTAACTCAAATGCTGAAGTGTTTTTAATTCTCAATTTGTTGCAGAGGAGTAGTTTCTCTGACTCTCTGGGCTCTGAAATCCTGCAGCTTTGAAATATAAATTCCAAGGGCTTTCGCAACTTCTGGTGAGTTTTCATCATAAATTCTTAATAGTTTGCTTTGCCGCGTTGATTTCTTAATTTCAAAATGGAAAAGTCCAAGCGGGACTGGTAAAAAACGTGTATTTGATATTTTTCTCTGACCTGTACTCACCCATTATCATCATCATCATCATCATAATCATCTCTCTCTCTCTCTCTCTCTCTCTCTCTCTCTCTCTATCTCTCAGGAGCTCACAACCCACGGCGGTGGATCCGATGCCATGAGTCTGAGACAGCGCCCAGCCGCAGCGGCCGCTCACGGGGGTGGTCCTAACCCTGGCTCCGCCTACAGTTCTACACTACCACACGCTAACGATTCTGAAGAGACCTTCAACATCATCCCCGTCCACAACCTACTGGCTGATCACCCCTCTCTCCGCTACCCTGAAGTCCGAGCTGCTGCCGCCGCTCTCAAAACCGTCGGCGAGCTCCGCAAACCCCCATTCGTCCAATGGCGCGAGGGGATGGACCTTCTCGACTGGCTTGGCGCCTTCTTTGGCTTCCAACACGATAACGTCCGCAACCAGAGAGAACACTTTGTGCTTCATCTTGCCAATGCCCAAATGCGCCTTCAACCCCCTCCAGACAACATCGACTCCCTCGACTACACCGTCCTCCGCCGCTTCCGTCGCAAACTCCTCAAGAATTACACCCACTGGTGCTCTTACCTCGGCCGTAAATCCAATATCTGGATCTCCGAACGCCGCCAAGCCCCGTTGGATCAACGGCGCGAGCTTCTCTACACATCCCTTTACCTCCTCATCTGGGGTGAAGCCGCCAATCTTCGCTTTGTTCCTGAATGCATCTGCTACATATTCCACCACATGGCCGGGGAGCTTAATAAGATTCTCGAAGATTACATAGATGAAAACACCGGCCGCCCTGTTCTTCCTTCAATATCTGGTGAAAACGCGTTCCTGAACCGGGTTGTTACTCCTATCTACGAGACAATTAAGGCTGAGGTTGAGAGCAGCCGTAATGGCACTGCCCCTCATTCGGCTTGGAGAAACTACGATGATATTAATGAGTACTTCTGGAGCAACCGCTGCTTCCAACGGCTCAAGTGGCCGATCGATGTTGGTAGCAACTTCTTTGTGGTTAAGGGTAAGAGCAAGGGTGTGGGCAAGACGGGTTTTGTTGAGCAGAGGTCATTCTGGAATATCTTTCGAAGTTTTGATAGACTCTGGATTATGCATATACTGTTTCTCCAGGCTGCCATTATTGTTGCGTGGGAGGGCAAGAAGTACCCATGGACAGCGTTGGAAAGCCGTGATGTTCAGGTACGGGTGCTCACCGTTTTCATCACATGGGGAGGTCTTCGTTTCCTTCAGTCGCTGCTTGATGCTGGTACACAGTACAGTTTGATCTCAAGGGAGACTTTGGCACTTGGACTGAGAATGGTTCTAAAGAGCATTGCTGCCGCTGTATGGACTGTTGTGTTTGGTATCTTCTATGGGAATATATGGTCACAGAGGAATCATGATCGTAGGTGGTCTGCAGAAGCAAATCGTAGGGTGGTGACTTTCCTCGAGGCTGCGTTTGTCTTTATACTCCCAGAGCTGCTAGCATTGGCACTTTTCATTCTCCCATGGATTAGGAATTTCCTTGAGGGTAAAAATTGGAGGATTTTCTATGTATTGACTTGGTGGTTTCAGAGCAGAACCTTCGTAGGTCGAGGCCTTAGGGAAGGGCTTGTGGACAACATAAAGTATACCTTGTTCTGGGTTGTGGTTCTTGCTTCAAAGTTCACCTTTAGTTACTTCCTCCAAATCAAGCCTATGGTTGCTCCGACTAAGGCTGTTTTGAACCTCAGGGGTATTCAATACAATTGGCATGAATTTTTTGGTAACACAAACAAGCTGGCTGTGGGGTTGTTGTGGCTTCCAGTGGTTTTCATTTACCTCATGGATTTGCAGATTTGGTACTCAATCTTTTCTTCTTTTGTTGGGGCAACGGTTGGGTTATTCTCACACTTGGGTGAGATTCGGAATATCCAGCAGCTGAGGCTAAGGTTCCAGTTCTTTGCAAGTGCGATGCAGTTTAATCTCATGCCACAGGAACAACTGTTGAATGCAAGAGGGACGCTGAAGAGCAAACTGAATGATGCCATTCATCGACTGAAGCTGCGCTATGGGCTAGGCCGGCCTTACAGGAAGATTGAGTCGAACCAGGTGGAGGGATACAGGTTTGCCCTGTTGTGGAATGAAATCATTGAAACTTTCAGGGAAGAGGATATCATAAGTGACCAAGAATTGGAGCTATTGGAACTGACGCCAAACACATGGAACATAAGGGTCATACGTTGGCCATGTTTACTCCTATGCAATGAGCTGCTTCTTGCTCTCAGTCAGGCAAAGGAATTGGTGGATGCACCTGATAAATGGGTTTGGTATAAGATTTGCAAGAACGAGTACAGGCGGTGTGCTGTTGTGGAAGCTTATGATAGTATCAAGCACATGCTCCTTGACATTGCCAAAGATAGAACTGATGAGCATTCCATTCTTACAAACATCTTTCATGAGATTGATCATGCACTTCAGATTGAGAAGTTCACAAAGACGTACAAGACAACTGCATTGCCTCAGATACACACTAAATTGATATCTCTCGTGGAGCTCCTAACAAAGCCTAAGAAAGATGTAACCAAGGTGGTGACAGTATTGCAGGTCCTTTATGAGATATATATCAAAGATTTCCCAAAGGAGAAAAGGACCATGGAGCAGCTGAGAGAGGATGGCTTGGTGCCTCTGAGACACACAGAGTTGCTTTTTGAGAATGCTATCCAGTTGCCTGAAACTGAGGATTCTTCGTTTTATCGGCAGGTGCGTCGTTTGAAGATTATTCTTACATCTAGGGATTCAATGAACAATATCCCTAAGAACCTTGAGGCAAGGCGGCGCATAGCCTTTTTTAGCAACTCTCTTTTCATGAACATGCCCCATGCTCCCCAGGTTGAGAAAATGATGGCCTTCAGTGTTCTGACCCCTTACTACAATGAGGAAGTCCTATTCAGCAAAGAGCAACTGCGGACTGAAAATGAAGATGGAATTTCTACTCTGTTTTATTTGCAGAAGATTTATGATGATGAGTGGGCGAACTTCATAGAGCGAATGCACAGAGAGGGGATGAAGAATGATGAAGAGATTTGGACAAACAAGCTAAGAGACCTCCGTCTTTGGGCATCTTGCAGAGGCCAGACACTCTCTCGCACTGTAAGGGGAATGATGTATTACTATAAAGCTCTCAAGATGCTGGCTTTTCTGGATTCTGCATCTGAGATTGACATCAGAGAAGGATCACAGGAACTTGCTTCTGTTGGATCAATGAGGCGAGATGGCATTATCGATGATCTGGACTCGGGTAGGTCACCATCTTCCCGAAGTTTGAGCAGGGCAAGTAGTGGGGCAAGTTTGTTATTCAAAGGCCATGAATATGCAACTGCTCTGATGAAATACACATATGTAGTTGCATGCCAGATATATGGGAGCCAAAAGGCAAAGAAGGACCCACATGCTGAGGAGATTTTGTATTTGATGAAAAACAATGAAGCTCTTCGAGTTGCCTATGTTGATGAGGTTCAGACTGGGAGGGATGGGAAGGAGTATTACTCGGTTCTTGTAAAGTATGACCAGGACTTACAAAAGGAGGTGGAAATATACCGGGTCAAGTTGCCTGGTCCCTTGAAGATTGGAGAGGGTAAACCAGAGAATCAGAACCATGCTTTCATTTTCACTCGTGGTGATGCAGTTCAGACGATTGACATGAACCAGGACAACTATTTTGAGGAGGCCCTCAAGATGCGGAATCTATTGGAGGAATACAACACCTACTATGGTATCCGGAAACCCACTATCTTGGGAGTCCGCGAGCACATTTTCACTGGTTCTGTCTCTTCACTTGCTTGGTTCATGTCTGCTCAAGAAACAAGCTTTGTTACCTTAGGGCAGCGTGTCCTTGCAAACCCTCTCAAGGTGCGAATGCATTATGGGCACCCTGATGTGTTTGATAGATTCTGGTTCTTGACTCGAGGTGGCATTAGTAAGGCTTCCAGAGTGATTAACATAAGTGAAGATATATATGCTGGCTTCAATTGCACATTACGGGGTGGAAATGTAACACACCATGAGTATATCCAGGTAGGTAAGGGAAGAGATGTTGGGTTAAATCAGATATCAATGTTTGAGGCTAAGGTTGCTAGTGGCAATGGAGAGCAGGTTCTCAGCAGGGATGTCTACCGGTTAGGCCATAGGTTGGATTTCTTTCGGATGCTTTCATTCTTCTACACTACTGTGGGTTTCTATTTTAACTCAATGATGGTAGTTCTTACTGTCTATGCCTTTCTATGGGGCCGTCTTTATCTGGCTCTCAGTGGCATAGAGAAGTCTATGCTTCAAAGTTCAAATAACAATAAAGCACTGGGTACAATCCTAAATCAGCAGTTCATTATTCAGCTAGGTCTATTCACAGCTCTCCCCATGATAGTAGAAATTTCTCTTGAGCATGGCTTCCTTAATGCAATCTGGGATTTCTTGACAATGCAGCTCCAGCTTTCCTCTGTGTTTTACACATTCTCTTTGGGGACTCGTACCCATTTCTTTGGCAGGACCGTTCTTCATGGTGGTGCAAAGTATCGAGCCACTGGGCGTGGTTTTGTTGTACAGCACAAGAGTTTTGCTGAGAACTATAGACTCTATGCCCGCAGCCATTTTGTGAAGGCGATTGAGCTTGGAGTGATTCTGACGATTTATGCTTCATACAGCTCCCTTGCCAAGGACACTTTTGTTTATATAGCTATGACAATCTCTAGTTGGTTCTTGGTAGTATCATGGATCATGGCACCTTTTGTGTTCAACCCTTCTGGATTTGATTGGTTGAAGGCTGTATATGACTTTGATGATTTTATGAACTGGATATGGTATCGTAGTGGTGTTGGCACCAAAGCAGATCAGAGCTGGGAGACATGGTGGTATGAAGAGCAGGATCATCTTAGAACCACTGGTCTATGGGGAAAATTATTGGAGATAATCTTGGATCTCCGCTTCTTCTTTTTCCAATATGGGATTGTATACCAGCTAGGCATTTCTGATGGAAATAGAAGCATCGGTGTTTACTTGCTATCATGGATTGGCATAATTGTGCTCATAGGGGCTTATTTGATAATAGCCTATTCTCGGGACATATATGCAGCAAAAAGACACATCTATTACCGGCTGGTTCAATTCCTTGCTGTTGTGATTACAGTAGTTGTCATCGTTGTCTTGCTGGAATTCACACATTTTAAGTTTATTGATATTTTCACAAGCTTGTTGGCATTTATCCCTACAGGTTGGGGACTAATATCCATTGCTCAGGTACTGAGGCCCTTTCTTCAGTCCACTGTAGTTTGGGAGGTTATAGTCTCTATTGCCCGCATGTACGATATACTTTTTGGAGTAATTGTTATGGCCCCTATGGCACTGCTGTCATGGATGCCTGGATTCCAGTCTATGCAGACAAGAATCCTCTTTAATGAAGCATTTAGTAGGGGCCTTCAGATATCTCGCATCCTAACAGGGAAAAAATCTAATGAGAAGCTGTAATTTGAGGTAATTCTTCATTGAAATCTTCTCAACTCTTGATTTCTGAAGTTCTTCATTATTTCCTAAGCTCATTTTTTGGTAAATTTTTTAATTAAAACGAAGTGTCTATTTGAGGCATGACTTTAATTTTGCTTCTTAAGAATGGAATTATGTGTTTCTTTGAGAAACTTAGAATGGAATAATGTTCTCACTTCTCTCTTCTTTTAATTTAATTGTGGTTAAATTAAAATTGAGGTTTGTAATAACAATAATGTGACTTGGAGCCATGGAGTGAGCCATTGACTCATTTGTAGATTATTGCCATTGTGGATGTTGACTATAATAGGCTTGTCTTGTGATCCCCCTTCATCTTGAAAACACCTGCTCAAATTTGCAGGTGCTAACTATAATACCTGGATACCTTCCCACCTGCACAAGGGTACTGCTTTGTGTTGGATACTTAAATTTTTAGTGTAAATTCCATTACCAACACTGTTCCACCTTTGTCTTTTTTTTTTTTTTTTTGCAAGATTACCAATTAGGTTGTACCCAATACTATCCTGGTAAGGTTGTCATTCTGAGTTTCTTTCGCAGAAATGCTGTCAATAGTGCCCATGGCTGCATTTGGTTGCAATGCAAATGCAAATATGTACACTACATATTAACCCATTTTTTGGTTCATGAATGCAAACACGGTTTACATTTTAAACCGTTTTTGCATTCATCTTGTTTGTTTGAAATCGGTGCAAAGTGTGGGCCCATCATTAAATGGTTCAACTATCTTATGCTCCAATGCCTTAACCTTGGTAAAAAAGTTAATTATCAAAAGAACACAAAATTGTTTCCAAAAAATAGGTACAGTAATGCTCTCTTCTCAGAGTATAAAAGCAAATGCTCGCAAACAAACGGAGCCCATGGTGCACAATTGTAAGGCATTGCCCTTCCATAGTGCCACTCAACCCGTGGTATATCACATGTGGTAAGGCTGCACACACTTGTGCCTCATTGCGTTTTGTGTAAAGTTTATTTGGTTGAAAATGCACAGCTGAAGCACAAAGTAGCATAGTATTTCTTTTATTCCGAAAGTGTGCTTTACCAAACTCTGGATCTCTTTTTTTTTTTTTTTTCCTGCCCGGAGCAGGAAAGTACTTCTAAAAAACAAAAGGATTTTTGTTCTGTGCCAATTGCCAAATTGTCTCCTTCCCTTCAGTCTCTTTGCTCTTCATTCTGTTTTCTCATGTATTTTATTTCCTTTTCAGGGTGTGAATTGAACAAGGGTGCGGATACAGTTACAATCCTGTGCCCTCACAGCCAGGTACATCCTCCCTCTCTCATGTTGGAAATCATAGAGTACTTGAAAACATAAACCCTGATCTTTTTTCCTTGAACAGCAACAATGGTGGATTTCTTTGCTATTAGTATTTTATGCCAAAAACTTTTGGTTTATGTTAATCCTAGAGTGATTTGTTTTTTATTATTTTAGGGATTTCAATTAAAATTTTGAAAAGGAACACAAAATTCGATTTAGAAAGGATGGTTTCATTTATGGGGACGGAGTTTCATATGGATAAGAAGTTAATATTTTTATTGGTTGAAGGATGGGCGCTTTTGTCATTGAAGGCATAATTTTCTTTTTATGGGGTTTTACTTTTTAGTAAGGAACTTCATATTGGGTGAAATAGGTAAGCTACTTCAATCAAGAATGACAAAGGTCTACTGAGAAAGTATATTTTTAATCTCTCTCTCTCTCTCTCTCTCTCTCTGGGTAAGAAACCTCTTTCTCAATTGATGTCTGGGTCTTGCAGACATGTCATTCTATTCGATTCATCAACTGGTTGCCTTGCATGTAGCTAGTAGCCATATGTAGCATGATGTATTGACAACTTACATGTACATTCAAGGGAGAAGCTTTAATGGTTTTACCTTCTTATTTGGTAAAAAATTGTAAAGGTGAGACATGTCTAGGACTTCCTATGAAGTGAAGAGTTGCTTAGGGGGTGTTCAAATTTGGATATCAAACCAAAAACCGAACTGAACCAAGCCGAATAAGTCAGTTCAGTTTGGCTATTTCAGTTTTTTGGTTCGGTTTGGTTTTATGATTTTAGAAATTTTGGTTTTTGGTTCGGTTTGAGAAAAAACTGAATTAACCAAAATAAACACATATATTTATATTTTATTTATAAATATAAATATTAATGTTAACATTAATATATATTAATATTAGTATTTATATTAATGATAATATTTAATATGTATTAAATGTTGACATATTTTAATAGTAATTATTAATATAAATATATTATACATTTATATTTTAACTAACCAAATTAACCAATTTAAAACCAAAACAAACCCATTTGAATTTGGTTTGGTTCGGTTTGATTCATGAAAATAGCCTAACCAAAATGTCGGTTAGGTTCTATTTCCGAACCGAACCGATTGAATGAACACCCCTAGTTCAGTTGCTCACAAGTCGCAACTAGCCTAAACTAGTATACGGCACCAAGCACATATAGTTCCTGCTTTTATTAACAATTTAACATAACATATATTTCAAAATTCAAGTAACGACATGGACAATTGCAAGTTTAAATTACTCATTTAACTTGTCTGTTTGTATGCTACTCCATTTTTATTATTTGAACCTGTTATATGAGTTGGTATGCCATCTACTCTCCTTTCCTGCCCCAGCTTCTGACTAGATGTGAATTTTCAGGTTTTGAAATGGGAATAGATGCATACAGCTTACGGGTTAAGAGGATGGGGGCTTTTCTTGGTGTGCGAGGTTGGGGCTATTCCTAGTTATTGCCTTGTTGGAGGTTCTCAAGTGTTCAATCATACTGTGTTGGCTCCTATTTGTATTTCTTTCCAATTTCGTGGAGGGAAAGCAAACGCTGTAAGCCTGAGCAACTCTTGATCTTCGGCTGCATCTTCCCTTTAATGTTGTAATCCGCTGTAGTTCACACACCCATTGTGAGATTTTTTTTTTTATCTGAGCACTGTAATTTGTTTCACAAGAGGCATTTTGTTTTGCTTTGCTCATCATCCTTTCCTATTATGAGGTCCGGCTTAGATCATTATTCATTTACTGAGTGTAGTGTAGGGTGGATGTTGTTTGGAAGTTTCATTTTATATTTATTTGATTGTTTTGTCCATCTTTTTTTTCTCTCCCTTGTACAGGTGGAATCGTTGTTCTTGTACCCTGTGGTCATTCCATAATAAAGCATTGGTGATATTTTAATGTGTTTTGGACAATTTCTACATTGCCTGAAAGACACTGAAATTCACAGTAACATTTATGCAGATTAAGAGCGTGTTTAGTATCATTGCATTGCGTGCTCCACATCACCGCCACATAGGTAGGGCTGCATCTTGGGTTGGTAGCCAGAACCCAACGCCAACCTAACCTGAAAAAGTGGGGTTGGGTTGAAGTTTGGGTTAGGGGTGATCATGTGCCAGGCCGGGCTGGGCCTGATTACGGGCCCACATCATTTATGCAGGCCTATGTATATGTATGTAGGCATGCGTGTGTACATAATATGTGTATATGTAACTATACATTTACAAATGTGTATGACTGTATGCATGTATTTAGATGTCTCTCTATCTACGTTATGCATGTATGTCAACAATTTTAATATCATGGGCCTATGCAATGCATATAAAGGTAAAGATATAAGTTAACATTTAATTGACTTTTACGATTGCACTAGAAGTTGGGTCAACTTCTCTATGTTTTTTTGGTAAAATATTCTTATTTTTTAGATAAATTAGGCCAACTATCCAACCTAACTCAAAACTTAAGGTTAGGGGTTCAACAGCTTGGGTTGGGTTAGAGTTGACCTCAACTGGATATAATCTGGCCCGACTTGCACCCATACACATAGGCGACAAGATTTCACCAAACCATAATCATGTTTGATTGGGCTAATCAGATGCAAATGTTTGTTTGTGGGAAAATTTATTTTACCAACCAGGCATGGTCCTAAAAGAGTTTTGATCAATCCAAGCATCTTGTGAATTTTGATGAATACCACCTGTTTTATGATACTTTGATTAATACCACCTGATTGGGCCACCTTTTTTATGATACTGGTTGATTAGCTGTATGTCTTTTCGGTATTATAGTTGAACCCATGTTTTGTATCGCCTTTTGTTTTAGTGTTTTTCATGTTATTTGAAAGTCATTTTGATGTTTCCCAGTTCCCACTAGTGTTTTGTGGTTTTTTCTCTTGCCACCAGAATCATTCTGACCATTGGTTTTTGGGTTAACGGTTTGACAATATGATTTGATTGGATGGTCTGTTCTGACAAAAAATAAAAAAAAATAAAATAAAAAACAACTAAAAACTGTTGAATGGGTTGATGGTTTGGTCATTCGGGTCAACAGGTCATCGACCAATTCAACGATTTTTTATCAGGTTTGAGGTAAAATGGAACCAGTTGCTTGGATGGTTCTCGTGCTGAATGATTAGACTGTTCGGGTCAACAACGGTTCGAAAACATTGTTGTATAGTGGTACAACATGTAATAAATAATAAATAATTGTTGCTTTGCATTTTGTGACTAAAATGAAACTGGTTGCCTTGGATGGTTCCTAGGTCAAATGGTCCGACAGTCTGTGTCAACGTCAGTTCAAAAACATTGATATATAGTGGCACAACATGTAATGAGTAATAAATAATCGTTGCCTTGAATTTTGTGACTAACCTTTTTTTTTTTAATTTTCTATGTTCATAACAAGTACAAATCAAGGTTCAAAGTATCGATACATATCGGCTCGTATCGATTAATACGTATCATTTCGGGACCCCTCCGATACGCCCCTACAGTGGGTGTATCGGAGGTTTGACCGGTTTAGGGGGTAGAGGAGACCTAAACTGGCTCCCCTGAATCAGTTGCGGAAAAAAAAAACCAATAAAAATGTGTATTGCTTCACCGGCATATCGAACATATCGATATTTTAAACCTTGGTACAAATGCAACCTCTATATATGTGGTGGGTTATGGGTTATTTGGAATTTTGGATAGAAAAAATCTCATGTATAGCAGCTTTATAAAAAACAAGAAAAAAACCCATGTTGGATTTTTTTTTTTTTTTTCAGATGAATCACATTTTTATAGGGTATTGAAAGAAAGGTGTGAAGGGAGAATAAGCTGACGTGGACTAAGATGAATAGAACCAAAACTCAAATGAGCCTTTTTTGCAATCCAATCCGCCACTTGATTCACTTCCCTAAAGACATGCTTGTAGCTAACCATACTCTAGAGCTTGGCACTCCTTGAGATTTCATGGAGGGGAAAATATGACCTTTGAGGCATGAAATGACGAGCTTCGAGTCCCCCTGAATGATCATGACGAATTCCTGAAGTTAGCAGCGAGGTTGTGCGTCTCCCAAACCCGCCCATGCTTCAGCAACATTTATAGACGAGCATCTCATTCAGTAACTGTTTGAAATCCACAATCTTAGCAAAAGGATCTTTGGCCACAGCATCAACCGCACACGTCCCGTTTGATAGCCTAGATGGATCAAAATTAATTTTAATCGAATCATCCTTAGGGGGCGTCCAGATTATATTCTTCCATTTTTTAATCTCAGCTTGTCGTTTAGATTTCTTCATTAGTTCACAATATTCCAAGAAACCTTTTGTTGCTTTTTCAATAATAGAGATTGGGGGTTCTGATTTATTTGAAAAAAAAAAATGGAATTCCTATTTTTTCAAACTTGACATAGAATATAAACACTCCTATCCTTCATCTTAACGTTAAGTTTAACGTCAGCCTCATGAACTCTATACCCCACCACTCACTCAAACTATCATATTCAAGTGGAGACACTATGCTGTTGTTCACAGTCATCCAAACTTGTTTAATCATTTCACATTTTTCAAAAATGTGGTCAATGTCCTCTTCCTCCCCACAAAAACAACATTCTCCTTCCATGTTCATCCCTCTCTTCCTTAAGATTACTTTGGAGGGAAGTTTATTGTTTAGTAATAGAAAGAGGAAGACCCTTAATTTTGGTTGACATTTAACCTTCCACACGATAATGTTCTAATTAAATACAATCTCTATTAGAGATTGAGTTACACTTAATTATAGGCCAATTTAACACAAAAAAAAACACCATCTGGATTCATCCTCCAAATAAGCATGTCCTCTTTATCCTCTGTTGGAATAAAAATAAGTCTAATTTTATTTCAAGTGCTTTGGGAGACCATCGAAAGGATATTGATTTCATTCCAGATCATCCTCTCATGGTCACTGAATTTAAGTTCTTCCATCTCACGCGGAATTGGATCAAGCCCCTTAACAAGAGTATCATTACCGAGCCAATTACCCTTCCAGGAATTGATGGATTTACCACCATTTCCAATAACCCAACCAATACCTTTCCTCAAAAGGCCTCTTGAATCAATAATTTCTCTCTCAAGGACCAAGAGATTTTTTTTCTTGGTTTTATATCTTAGGAAATCTTCTCCTTTCAGATATTTCTCTTTAACAACCCTCACCCATAAGTTATCTTCCTCTCTAAGAATTTTCTAACGCAATTTGGCTAGGTTGGCTTCATTAACCCATTTTAAATTTATAAGGCCAAGGCCACCCTCATTTTTAGGATAACAAACGTTGTTCCATCTTATAAGGTGCAAAGGTTTCTTATCGCTAGAATTAGACCAAAGAAATTTTTTCTGGGCTTTACTGATGTCCTCATTGATGCCACTAGACAACTTGAAAGACCTCATGATATATTGAGGTAGCATACTAGCAGAGGCTTTCAAGAGAGTAATTCTACTAGTAAGAGAAGGAGAATTTCTCTTCCAACTAGCAAGTTTTTTGACTACTCTATCCTTTACAAATCGAAACGAGTCCTTGGTGACTCTTGAATTAATTTGGGGGCCCCCAAGTATAAACCACTATTTGATTTTCAAAATTCTAGTAAGAATTTTCTGGAATTTATTTGGGGTATTTCGAGAGAAATGAATAGATGATTTCTTGAAATTTGGGTTCTGACTTGATGCTTTAGCAAATTTCTCCAGAATATCTTTGATCTTGAGGCAAGCATTAATGGTAGGTTCAGCAAAGATCGGACAATCATCTATAAATTGTAGAATAGGAATTTTGGGGGAACTCATTGCAGCTTTTACATCCAATACCAGTGTCAGGGTTAAGATTCCTTTTCCAACTTCCTAGATAGTGCTTCCACACATAGAACAAAAATGTATTGGTGAGGGGATTTCCTTGTACAGGGTGTGCCATATCAGAATTTGGAAGATTGTTGTTTTTATACACTCCATAATCCATACAATCCATTTATCATGCTATTTTGCCCTTTTATACCTTAGAACACATGAGAGTAATTTAACATTCACATCTCTTCTTTGTAGATGGCTGGCCAATGCTTTTGGTCTTAACCTCGTTGGGCACGTTTTAAATTTAATTTTGTTTAGCGTTGTAGGGACATGGGTAGCAACCCAGGTTCAAACATTTGAACCTCATCCTCCTCAATTCAAAGCTCTGAACTCGCCTCCTCTAAGCAAAGCCATCATCTTCCCATCGCCCGATACAGTAATCTTATTATTGTATTGTCCAGCACGGTGGATGATAGTACTCTTGTTAGTCTCATCCTCCTCTATGCCGGTTATAATAATCTGGTAACACTCTCCATCACTGTACGGATGACATGAAAAGGTTGCTGATGGTTGATGAGAGTAACAAGATTATTGTATCTGGTGTAGAGGAGGATGGGGGCTTTGCAGTGGACGATACAGTAATCTTGTTATACATAAGGTTCAAAATATCAATACAGGCCGATACGCCCATATTAACCTGTATTCGCCCACCTTTTTTTTTATTCTTTGAAATTGATTCAGAGGGGTCGGGGTGTGACCTGGTTCAAGGGGTAGAGCAGCCTTAGGTGACACAGGTTACTCAAAGACTTAGCTGATCCGGTGATGGAGAGAGCTGAAAAAGTTTAAAGACTTAAAGATCATAGGTTTTTACTTTTTACTATTATCTTTTTAACTCTTCCAATTTTAAGAATCTATTTTAACAATCTGTGGGAAGACAATATAGTCCAAATCAAAATAGAGAAGAAAGTAGGGTAGGGATCGGTGATGCAAAGGCAAGTGATGATATGTACGAGTATGACAATGGAAAAACTTGGAGCTAATCTGTTGGTCATGGGAAACCATGTCTGTGGGTTCTCGAAGAGGTAAATAGACGGTAGTAGTATTTAACTAACTTCTATTTAGATTTAATTTGTATTTGTATTAATTCATGTACTTTTTGAAAAATTGAAAGAAAATAAAAGATAAAAGAATCACAATATACATTTAAGCTTATTTGAAAAACTCGAGGTATATTTAAGTCTTTTACCCTTTAAAATATCTATTTTTTCTTAGTCTTCTCTCACTCTCCACTTTCCTTTTGTTGTATTCCTATAATAAGTTCGGTTCGCTTGTTCATATTCCTCTAATAAGTTGAAGAATGGTAGCAATTATCTTCACTTTTATTTTTTATCTTGAGAAGTCCAAAAGATTGGACGGATCGCATTTTAATTTGCAAGTGTTTCGCGGTATCTCTCAAGTGACAGAGATGAAGCCAAATCATTGACCGCAGATCGGAGCCAATGTTTTCAAACGGCCAGTGATCCGGACGGTCGGACCATTCAGCCTAAGAACTGTCTAGGCAATCAGTTCTATTTTATCTTAAATCTGGTTTTTGGCAAAAAGTTGTTGAATCGGTCAATGATCCATTAATCCGAATAGCTGAACCATTGACCAGTTTAACCTATTCAACGGTTTTGACCATAACTTATTTTAATTATTATTTAAGTTTTTTATTTTATTGTTAGAATAAACTGTCCATTTGAACCGGATGATCGAACTATTGGCCCAGAAAAACGATTCCAATTCCAAATCGTTTTTTAAAACATTGCACAGGGTTAAGAGTTTTCCTGAGAAGTCCAGTTACCCGAATTCAAAACACTAATTGGTCTAGTGGGGAATTGGTTTTAATTTTATTTTCCACATCTCAAAACTCAACCTCTCAACCAAAAGCTTATCCAAAAAGGTAACCGAATTCCTGATTCTCCCCACACTTTCACCACCCCCAAAAACTCCCTGGTGAAGGTGGGAACTGGGGTCAGTTCAAGTCTACGCTAAAAGCCTAAAACCAACCCAACCTTATAAGCAAAGCTAGATGGCACCTTCGGTCCAGATTTGAATTCAAACAAACATATACCATTCCCAGTTCACTCGATGGGAGTTGGGATGCTCTGCACTTATCCTGCACTCTGTGATAGGTGTTCTATATTTCTATTACATGTGTACTGTAATATGCATGAATACACATGTAGTGATATACCTGTCACACACTGAAAGGAAACGAAGGTAGGGCTGAAACATGTGATGGGTGGCGAGTTTTGGGGAGTCGCTGAAAATTACAATCAAGATTAAGGGTTTGTTTGATGATAATTTTTAAAAAAAATTTGCTTTTTTAGAGATAAGGCCTAAGGGGTATTTGACATCTATTTCTAACCTCCCTTGAGTTTCTGCTTCTTGTTGAAATCTTTTCTGAAGTTTGGTAATTGTAATAATTTTCCCTAAATTTTATGACTGTTGTAAATAGAACCCCTTTTGTTAGAATCCTCTAAAAAGAGGCAGGAAAATTGCCAAAATATTTATTTTCCTTACTTTCTCTTCCTAAAAATTGTTAGCCCAAACCTTTCCAATTTCTTTTCTGAAATTGATTTATTTTCCAAATTTGCCATTCATACCAATCACTCAGGTAAAACTGCAACTTTAAGTTCTCTTCTTTTTTTTTTTTGTTTATAAAATTTGTATTGATTTTTTATGTAGAAACCAGACTCAATAATAACTTCATTGGTATTTTGGACATTTTTGTGCCTCTAACAAAGGGGGTTTACTTATAATTTTAAAAAGTTAATGGGAGGTGATTGCATTTACCAAACTTTATAGAGGTTCCAACAATGGTCAGCAACTTAAGGGAGGTTTCAGCAATTTTTCCTAAGAGAAAAGACGTTTGAAATTATAAGATTTTTCAAAAGGTAAAATATAATTACAAAATCCAACTGAAACCCTGGGCCAACCAGATCCATATAACCCGAAGTATCACATTATTCACCCACAAAAATCTATTTCATTATAAATTTCCGGCATTCTCACAGAATTCCCAAACTAGATTTGAACGATGAAAATGAGAAAAATATGAATGATGGTGTAAGATAAGAACACCTGCATTGAAGAGAAAGAATCCGTAATTAAAAAATTGGTCTTTATTATAGCATTTACTATTAAGATCATTTAGTCACGATAACAACAGTACAAAGGCAGAAGCCTGCCGATATATGCTGCCTTGGCTGTTAATCAAAGGAGAAGAAGTGCAGATTCTGGTTTTCTATTCAGTAATCGGAACTCTGTAATACTATATTTGATATCTAGAATGGAGGCAATATCAATTATTATCCTCCAAATGTTAACAGATGATTACAAAGATTGTACCATGATGAACACAACTAATTAGAATTTTCCAAGTTATTAATGGATATCTTACCTGCGTTCACACCATGTTTGACATTGCAAGTGCAGTTGAAATATTTAATCAGCCTGCAGACATGTGGCGCAACCATGTCAACTAAGAATCATAAACTGTTATAAGTAACATAACTGTGCATTAGTGCCACATCCATTAAACACTGGCACAGTCAATGTTTGGTTCTACGAAAATTGTCAGAGCAGATCATGCATAGCCTAAACTTGAGCTCATTTTGGCCGCTCATTAGCAACCATGACCCCAAATACAAGGCATTTCTCAGTTGGATGCCTTTGGATCATGATAAAATGAAATGTGATGGTTTTTTTTTTTGGTCCAAACATCATATACTTCATGATCCTCTTCTTTTGGAAACCACAAGCTAAGATTTGAGTCCTAGCATATTAGCCAGTAATCAAATAGTTGAGATAGATTTCTACCTTTCTACTTTATTAAATACAGTTTAGAAACGTATTTTGCATATCTAAAGACCTACAATGTGTGCTCCCCTTTGCAAGTACCACACTATAATAATCAGTCAACCACAATCACATGTTACCTTATCAATTGCGGAGAAAATGGATTTGACCACTTCAAAAACTTCTTCTCTAGGTTTTCCAGCATCAATCTGAGCAATGAAGTAATAGGTAAGATGTAACCTACTAGAAATCCTCTGGGCTATGATCAGGGAAGAATAATCAGCAGGAAACCTAAAAGGAAGTTACCTTCTTGACCTTCCCCTTTGATTCATAATACTCAACAACGGGAATACTGGATTCTACAAAAACCTTAAACCGCTTCCGAATTGTGTCAATGTTGTCATCTTCCCTTCCCTTAATTATCCATTAGAATAGTTTCAGAAAAGTTATAGCAAATACTTGAACAAAAGTTTGAAAAAAAGAGAAGAAACTGTCTGAAGATGACATGACCAAAAGACATAAATAAACAGCTCCTTCTGCCTAACCTGGTTCCTATTTAAAAGACGCCTCTCCATCTCCTCTTCTGGACAATCAAAAAATAGTACAAATTCTGGACTAATTTTTGTCTGCAAGATAATTTAGAACTAGTCACGAATAACATGAGGTATCCCACACTCATAGTTTCCACAAAAGAATATCACCTACGAGACCATTCCAAATTTCCAATAAGAGAATTTGGGGGCTTACAACATTCTCAAATGCAGCACGGTTCTCTTCGTTACGAGGGAACCCATCAATAAGGAATTTGTTGTTACCACTGTCTTGCATTGCCCGCTGGAGAAGTTTAATAGTAACCTCTGATGGAACAATCTTTCCCTCCTTTATCATGTTCTGTATCATTGTACTGTCACAACAGAGATGAAATTTAGATACCAAGATCTTTCATATTTCAGATGATACATGAAAAGAAATAGCATAAAGAAATAAAACCCGTGCCTGTTAACATGAAATAAACGCCATTTACAGGTAAAAAATTGGGGGAACACTTAAGTAGGGAACATCTGTTCATGCAATGGAGGTAGAAATCTAGGCCTCCCTGTTTAATAAAATATGCACAGTAAAGAGTAAACCATTTAATGGAGCCATGCAGAAGAGTTCCTAACAGAACATTGAGAATGGGTGATCCAAACCATCTAATATATCACATTCTTGGGATCTTTGATCAGGTAAATTTCTTGCCTAGCAAATCTCTTGTAGGGACTAACAAAAGGGTGGATTTCAACCCAGAGTAATAGTTGCATTGCAGAGATAGGATGGAAGACATACTTATCCAAGTGCTACTCCAAACTATAATGAATTATCCTATGTTACCCAGATATGGCAAGAACATGGCTGGACACAGTATCATATAAGGAATTTACACCAAGAGTTTATGTATCTGGCATGATAAAGCACCTTTATACAGGTATCCAGGTATCATAGAAATCATCAACAGCATCCATAACTTCTGTTAGGATTAATAATTATAATCATACCCATTTTCAGAACCAGATTTAATTTCAGCTCGAAGAAGATCACCAGCACTGAGATGGGTAAACCCAAAATGTTCAACTATATTTGCACACTGGGTGCCCTTTCCACTGCCTGGGCCACCTGCAATTATTCAAATGCAATCATGCAATCAGCTGATCAGGAAATATCCAATAACTGAAGTGAAATTTCCCAACATAAGAAAGAAAAGGCAGATCAGAACTAGAAATCTGAAACCTGATATGAATCTGTAAGTAGAAACAGAAGACAGAAGAAGACAAGAGCAGGACTACTTCCAAATTGGAAGGGTGATCAAGGGTGCAAGATATGCCAAAAGAAAACTATTTCTTCACCTTCCTATCAAATTTAATAGCATCATATTTCATCATCCTCACATCTGATGGGATATTTCCTAGTATAACCTTTCAAAAGCTCTAAAATCTAAGATTTCCTTCTTTGTTCAGCTCTTCTCTGCCGTATGACATCTCTCACAAAAGCTTGGTAATGATTTATTGTTTACTTTGAGCTAGCTCAGGAACAGGGCAAGGTATCACTGATATAGCTAGAGAATAATGGAAAAAACAAAAACTACATCAAACTGGAATTAAAAAGCTAGCGTACCAACTCAATATCCATGTAATAACAAATTCTATATCATTTTCTTTAATCAGTAAAAATAATCTTATTGAGTGTAAATATATGTAGAAAACAACGTATAAAGGAGGATGAGAAAACAACAAGACAAAAGTTGTACCCTTTTACATCTTTGACTCCAAAAGAATGAAAAAAGGGTTCTATTATATTGAAAAAGACTCGACACTTTCAATATCTTGCTAGTTGTTAGCTTTGATAATTTGATATCAAAGTCGACCCTGCAGCTATGTCCTTGAAGTCCTTTCAAACCAAATTCCAATCCATAAAAAGGAACTTTGTCACGCACTTACATGGTGCAGTACAAGTTAGTACCATTATGGAAACTCAAATAAAAAATTTTCCAATGTAAAAATTAAAGTTAAGGCATAAAATACTTGTTTTGATATATAGGTCTGCTAATAAGTTGCACTTCATATATTGGAATCTGTATAAGGCAAATAGTGAACTATATAGGATACTTGCACAATGAAACATAACTAAAACCAATAAACTCACCTAAAACAAAAACAACTTTGACCTTCTTCTCATCTGACAAGCTTCCATTAGCTTCCTGCGTCCAAAACTACACTTTATCAAGTGGTATAATCGAGATGCATTCTCTGAGGCAGAATACATGAGACGATCATAAAGGGAACCTTGCAAATGGAACACATGCATGAAGAAAGCATATATAAGAATTCCATTTAGATGGATTTAATAATCTTTACACCCATTCTGGATATTATTGGACAGAATTCAGCCACAATGCCTTGGCTTATGCATCAAAAGGTTTTTTTCCCCCTTGGTTCTTGGTCAAATAGAGCTCGGACAGAGAATAAGTTGCTATAATTTCCTCCAGGATAGGTTCTACTGCATGGTTCAAGACTAGATTGGTGTGATCATTCATCTATTACTATTACAATTTCTACCAAGGAAATATTTCATATAGAAAAGATGCTTCATTCTCTGCATGGGAAACAGTGGCCAACTCTGAGTTGTTTCTAGAAATTAAGGTGCATATTTTGTGATGCTTAAGGAATATTTTGTATTTCAACAAAAAAGAAAAGGAATATTTTGTAAGTGCAAATTGATCACACATTAAATCAGAAGAAAGATACAACCATTGCATTAATAGATGTTAAGGTGGTTGTGCTATTATGGGATGACAGATATCAAATAAGGATGTCATCAATCCCAAAATACACGTTACAATACTGAGTAGGAGACCTGATAGCGAAAAGCAAGCCTTATGAAAGGCATAAAACAGAAAAGGCAAACAAGGCTTTTTCCTATGGATAAATAGTTGAGAGGACTGGATGACATATAGTGCCTAGATGGTGTTTTAAAAACAAAACAAAACACCCTTCACTGCTTTTGCCTTTTTGGTCTTGAGGTTCCTTGTGACATAGCATTCCCCTAGTGAGAAATATATGCTTGTAATCCATGTTTCATCATCCACGCATTCTTTAAGTTGGGCATGGTTGAAAAGGATCCAAGCAATAAATCAAGGAAATTTATGGTAGATTGTAGAAATAGGCAGTAAGCCAGAAGAGTGCAATATGAAGGACATAAAGGATACTAAAAAAAATATGAAGAAAATTATATATTGCTGCACTACATTTCATGGCAAAGCCATCATGAAAGGCCTCAAGTTGGTTGCAAGATCAGAACATCGAATCACTCGAGTGGCTAGATTGAAAGCAGCATTTTAAAAAATAAATAAAAAAGTTTAGGAGGATGCTCTTTAGTATTTTTATTTTCAAACAGAAGCATAAGACTAGGTGTCACAACTAAGACTTGAAGATTGTATATTTCATAGTTCATACAAGGGTCTGTTTCCTGATGTCACTTATGGAGCTATCAATTCAGCAGTAAACGAAGGAACCTCAGAAATATTATTTTGACCTTTTGCAGAAAAAGACAAGTAAATGGCATAATATTGTCTATTAAGTAAAATGAATAAACTAACGGATGCAAAAATTTGCAATTCAACTAGGCATTCTGAGAACATAAAATATTAAAGAAAATATTTTATACACAGTTTCTCATTTGAAACTTGCCATTTAACCTATAACATTCTCATGTCTCATTTCTAAAAAACCGTAAGATAATGGATGCTAGCTTGTTCATTCTGATGTCTGGGGTTGTATGCCAGTTGGCTCTAGATGTGGCTAGCATAAAATGTTAAAGAAAATTTTGGAGTAAAAAAGCTACCTTGTTGACAGAATCTACCGCAGTTCCCATGAGTGCAAATATAATATGAATGCACAACCTGCATATCATGGAACAGATGGAATGAACAAATTGATATTTATAGAATAATCCAAGAACACATGACACTCCCGCAGGAGATGTTCCTCTCAAAAATCTTTTGTAAATATTTATAGGAAGAGTCGTGTATGGCCGGATACCAGTGGCATTATTTTAAGTGATAACAGGGATCTAAAGTTCGTTATTGTGTAGTGGAATAGTGGATCAGTTATCAGTTAAAACATTAAGACAGGATTTGAGGCCACGTTCGGGGCATGATCCCCCTAAGAAACAGAAGAGGAGGAAAAGAAGAAATTTTAAAGTATTTTATCTGTCAACATCGTTTACAGTTCTTACTCGATAGGAGATCTAGATTGTCAATGGCAAAACCAGAGAATTTAGCCATTCATTCATTGAACTATTTCAAACGGTCCTTGGTGCTATATGAGAGATAAGAAGATAACAGAAGATGTCAAAAGATATAAAATGAAATCAAAATCACTTGATCTGAAGCACTACTCCTTCAATCACACCAGATCTAACGCAGAACAACCAAAAAATACATCAACTTGGAGAAAGACAAATAGACAGTCCAAAGATCCACGTATAAGTATTAGAAATATAAAAATGTGAGCTTGAATCGGAATTAAAAACACTTCGAATCAGCCCAAAAGATGAAATTTTAACAGATACGGCTCCAAAAACAAAGGAAGCGAGCAATATCATATCAAAAGAATGGAGACCGAGCTGATTGAGATTCAATCAGTATCGTACCTGATGAAAAAATCTTTAAGTGACGACGCTCTAAGCTTCTAACAGAAAATCGAGCAGAGATACGCGTGAAAGTGTCGGTTTTGGCAGTTGCAGAGGAAACGGGGGAGAAGAGAAGAAAAAGGAGGGAAACGAGATCTGCGAAAGGAATAAACGGTTTGTAATTTATAGAGTCACGACTCTCGTTAATTATTTTTTAAGGTTCCGTTTGGGAAGAATGTAAATAGAAATATATGTTCACCTGTTCAGTGGCTCAGTGCAAATACAAGAACCGTGCCGTGCATATTTCGTGTTTGTTCCAACATATTTATGTTTGTACTCTTCCAAACGGAGCTTAAAAGAATGCTTTTTTTTTTTTCCCAGTGAGTGGCCCAATCAGCTCGAGGCCGATTCATGATTTGTTTGAGTCCGCATTGGCTCACCACCAGCGCGCCCCACACGCGGGATCTAGATCTGCTCTTCACACCAACCTCACAGAATGTATTGTTTGCACATGGGAGCAAGGGTGGGTTCGAACCGAGCCGAGCCGAATACTATCAGATTTGAGCTCGGCTCGAGATTGTTCTACAAGGTTCGAGCTCGGTTCGAGCCAGAACCTTGAGCTCGAGATCGGCTCAAGTAAAAAATTTATAAGTTCGAGCTCGATTTGACTTGAGCTTGATTTTGAGAAAAAATATTTTACAAAAATAAAAAATTATATATAAAAATATTTTTTATTTGATATTTAAAAATTTAAGAATTATAATAATTAATAATTATAATATTTTTATTTTATATATATATATATATATATATATATATATTTCGAGCTGGCTCATGAGCCGAGCTCGAGCAGCTCGTGTTGGCTCCTTGCCACCCCTACATGGGAGAATATCTCTTGTACTTGTATTTATTATTCACGAGGAGATTTTCCCATTTCCCAATATTAGGTGAAATGTGACTGTGAGGTCGTGGTGAGCCGCATTCTATGAGGAATAAATCCCAATTCCCATACAAGTTTCACAACACATTTCACAGAGAATTGGGATCAAAATTAGATTAGCGCCCCATAGCGAATTAGGATCTTCTACCAACAAAATCCTCACACCGACCTCACAAACACATCCCATTGTGCATTGAAAACATGTCCCACGAATAATAATACATAAGGGAGAGGTTCCCGATACATGGTGGTATGTGCTTATAAGGGAGATGTATTGTGGGACGTGCTATATGGTAATAATAGGCTCTATGAGTCGGGATCTGCTTCTCACACAATGCACATCTATTGTTCATCTTCATTTTTTTCTTCTCTTCTTCTTCTTCTTCTTATTCTTCTTCTTCTTCTTCTTATTATTATTATTATTATTATTCATGAATGATATTTTCAATATACGGAAGGATTTGACTGTGAGATCGGAGGAACAGGTCCCAATAATTAAGAACTAGGACAAAACTTAATTAGCTCAGTTTGAAAAAAGTATAAATAAGCCTTAATTGCGAGTGTTTTGCATACATCCTTCAACGGGGCCATGAGACGATACCAAAGAGATGGCTGATCATTCATCAACGTGACTAATGGTATTAGATCATGATAATTAATTGTGCTGACCTATGGAAGTTGGAATTTAAAGCAAGTTAAACTTAAAGCGAGACGAGAAGATTAAAAAATTGGAATAAATTAGTCCATTCGTGGACCTATGGTACCGTCTTTTCTCCATCTCCAGGAATCTGTTTTTTTTAAGGACAAAGACCTCACAACACATGCTATCGAATTCACATCGTCTGTCCCTCTGGTACAGAAAATTACAAGACCAATAACAATTTGTTTACCAGCTACCTGTATTTCCTATTTCAAAATTAAAGTGATTTTTTTTAAATGATTTGGTCTGACATAGAAAATTTTCTGTATCAAGGGAACAGACGATATGATATGAATTCCATCCCATCTTACATTGAGAATATCTTATCATGATAAAACAGGAGATGTTCCCATGTGCAACTAGAATAGTAGGTCGGTGTGAAGAGTGATCCTGGAGAGTCGCCAAGATCAAAACGGGTGAACTGGAATTTTCTTATAACTTCTTTTATAAGCAATTTTTTAATCAATTTCAACCATTTTTAATAGATTTTTCCTAAAAAATCATTTTTTTTTCTTTTCTAACATAAGCAAAACACTCATTAATCAATGGGGACGTCGTTGACAATGAGAGCACCGAACCACGGAGTAAATGTGATCACGTATGAATGCTTTGAATGCTACAACAAGCAAAATGTCATGCCGAGCTGTTAAAACTTATACAATACTCAATAAGCATTTAAGAATAAGACTTATTTTTTTAATCCAAAATTTTAAGACTTTTTTTAAGTGTTTATATAATAAGCATTTATTCAATTTTTTTCTTCTAAATTATTCTAATTGAATTTTAAAATACCACTTATAAAATTATTCTTATTTGAATTTTATAAAAGTACTTTTATGAAAGCATTTTTAAGAAAGTATTTTTATAAAAATATTTTTACATAAGTACTTTTGTGAAAACACTTCTATAAAAGTATTTTTACAAAAACACTTTCATGAAAGTACTTTTATGAAAACATTTTTATGAAAGCGCTTTTACGAAAGTACTTTTGTGAAAGCACTTTTACGAAAGCACTTTTATGAAAGTACTTTTATGAAAACATTTTTATGAAAGTACTTTTACGAAAGCATTTTTATGAAAACACTTTTACGGAAGTACTTTTATGAAAGCACTTTTACAAAAGCGCTTTTGTAAAAATGCTTTCATAAAAATACTTTCTTAAAAGTGCTTTCAAAGGGTATATTTTGAAAATTTGAAAGAAAATGAAGGACAAAATAGTCACAAATGCTTATTTAAGTACTTATTAGAGAAAAATACTACCAAATGCCCAATATAAAATAAGTGTTTATTTTAAATAATAAGCACTTGAAAAAGTTGAGTGTCAAATGCAAATAAGTGCTTATTTGAATAAGCTAGCTTATTTAAGTGCTTATTAGAGAAAAATACTATCAAATGCCCAATATAAAATAAGTGTTTATTTTAAATAATAAGCACTTGAAAAAGTTGGGTGCCAAATGCAAATAAGTGCTTATTTGAATAAGCACTTATTTTTAACTTAAGCACTCCCAAACATGGCCCAAGTACAAGATCAGTTAAGGCCATGTTTGAGAGTGCTTAAAAATAAGTGCTTATTCAAAATAAGTGATTAATTGGGCCATTAAGCACTTATTTGTGGTATTTGGAAATAAGCCTGAAAGAAGTGCTTATTATAAAAATAAGGGCTTATTTTTTAAGTCCAAATTTCCAGATTTTTTTAAGTGCTTATACAATAAGCACTTATTCAAGTTTTTTTCTTCCAAAATTATCCCTAGTTGAATTTTAAAATGCCACTTATAAAATTATCCCTAGTTGAATTTTATAAAAATACTTTTATGAAAACATTTTTATAAAGGTATTTTTATGAAAGCATTTTTATAGAAGTATTTTTATGAAAGCACTTTTTAAAAATATTTTTATGAAATCACTTTTAAGAAAGTACTTTTATGAAAGCACTTTTCGAAAATACTTTTATGAAATCACTTTATAAAAGTACTTTTACAAAAGTTTCATAAGGGTACTTTCTTAAAAGTGCTTCTGTAAAAGCACTTTTAGAGAAGTGCTTTCATATAAGTACTCTCATAAAAGTGTTTTTATAAAAGTGTTTTTATAAAAATAATTTAATAAAAGTGCTTTCAAAGTGTATATTTTGAAAATTTGAAAGAAATGGACAAAATAGTCACAAATGCTTATTCAAGTGCTTATTAGAAAAAAAAACTATCAAATGCCCAATATAAAATAAGTACTTATTTTAAAAAATAAGCACTTGAAAAATTGGGTGCCAAATGCAAATAAATGCTTATTCAAATAAGGACTTATTTTTAACATAAGCACTCCCAAACATGGCCTAAGAGATAAAGCTTTCCGAGCAACAATATGAGTTGCATAGTTAACAGTTCAAGGGGAACTTGGACTCAATCCACATAAAACGGTACTCACATCATACTCACAGCCACCTTCAACTATGTATTGGGAATATCTTTGAACTTGAAAATTTTTATTCATAGGGAGATATTCCCATTGTACAACTGCAAGTGACTGCAAATATAATATGAAAACAGTTTTGTGAGGATTGAATATTGAATCTGTTATCGTTCAAGGGATAAAAGAGACTGAGCAAAAGTACGAAGCCACCATGGTGGATGGAAGTGATTTGTCAATAAAAACTCAACTATAATCATCACATTCTCAATGATTGAAGAGGAGGGATGTAATTCTTCAACAAACAACAAATTATGAATAAAGGCTCGTGATACAGATTCTTTAGGAATACTATTATTAGATTGGAGAGCCTCAAGAAAAAAGAAATCGGCCATCATGATCTCTAACAATTGGAGTGCCACATTTCATAGAGGTCTCTCTACAATTGCAAAACATGTTCCCCCAGTTGGTACAATCTCTGATTCGTTGCGTTGTGATCAAGAGTCCAGATCACTTGCCAATAAAATACGTTTCAACCCTTTACCAACATCATTTCATACTGTACATCTCATACATGAAGGATTCTATTTTTATGGTGGGTCTGAGTTTTATTATGATATATATCGTGTGAAATGATGTTGGTAGAGGGTTGAAATGTACTTTGTTGGCAGGTGATCTCAACTCACAGAAAACATATTCGGGGCCAATAGAATTTGAGTTTTTTAATGACCAATAGAATTTAAATAGTAAAATGGTGGTGGATTTCCATTAATTTTTCCGCAATTAGGCGAAAGGCCAACATGCATCAAGATGAGATCACCACTCAGAGGGATGTTGGTCAAACATGAATGTTTTTAAAACAAAAAAAACAAAAACAAAAACAGGTGAGTATCCACTCAACCGGTAAAAGCCCACTTGACCAACCTCAGTAGGCATGTTTTGTTGGGACCGGATCTATCAGGTGTGCCTACCTGATCCGGACTGTATTTCGTTTGTTTAAAAAGTAAAAATAATATAAATTTTAAAATATATTAAAAAAAGAATCTTACGGGCCATTTGGTAAACCCCGAAATTGCTAAACTGAAAGACTTGTTTTGTTAGAATAATTAAATATTAA